CATCCCTGCCCCGAGTGCCTGCGCTGGTGTTAAACGCAGTGCTGCAGAGCGCATTACCTGTCTTCTGTAACAGGAGCCTCAGGACATCACCTTTACAGTAACCGTTTTACCTTAAAAGCGTGGCACTGTGGAGTTCTAAGAGGTGTCGCTGGGCTCGTGAACCGGTTAAATGCGTGGCGTCTGGCCTGCATGCTCTGTGTGTGTGTGCTGTGAGCCGTTCTCTCCAGATCGCTCTTCACCGTGCTGTGTTCCAGGGAGGCCGGAGGACCGCCAGCCCCCCGGGGCAGCTCACTGCAACTGCCCCACGTGGTCAGTTCCGAGACAGGACTGTCAGACCGCCTCTGACGGTCTCTGAACACACCTGCGGCCTGGGACTTGCTGTTCTTATCATTACCATCATAGGGTGTTACTAAGTGCATCCTGCTCAGTCTCCTCTGTTCCCTACGTACTTCATGGATATGACGACTGCATCCGCTCAGCCTTCCGCCCTCCACTCCTGCGCTCCCGTCCCCCAAACATGTTCCTGCTTTGGGACCCGTTTTGGCTTTGCCCATGCTTAACCCATGACCCAGAGCCCTGCGCTGGAGATGGCTGGAAAGGGACGGCGTGATAAACCTCTCTTCCACCCCCAAGTCTGCGTGGCATGCAGAGGCGGGCCAGAGGGAGAGCGTGACTGTCCCTGCAAGTCGCACCAGACACTGCAGAGATGCTTGGGCTGCGTTCGGACGGCGGAGAGCGGGAACATATCTGCCAGCAGATGGGGGAGGCTGCTGTGGAGAAAGCCAGTGACAAAGGCGTCCAGTCTGGGAGTTACCTGGTGGATAAGGACAGGGTGCTGGCCGGGACCTAGGACGGCAGCCCCGCCGGGGGGCGGGAGGACCCTGCAACCAGGTGCCGACATCGGGTTCTAAGTCTCCACCCCGGCCGGCCTGCGAACTCTGAGGATGAGGACACTCAATGTCAGTATTACTGAAATACGGGCACGGGGTTTGGAGGATGCCACCGGGACTGCGGGCGGCCGGACTGGGGATGGATGGCACGTGTTTACTTGTGTGCCTGCACCCAGCCTCTGGAGAGGTGCCTCGGCCCCATGGCGCCACGGTGGTGTTTAGACTGACTGCAGCAGCTTTCAGAGGCCGGCAGCTGGAGCTCCCAGGAGGACACGGCACGGAGACGTGCAGAACCAAGGCCCGCCTCACGGAAACTATGCAAACGTTTATAAAACGCTGCGAAGTTAAACAAAACCCTTGTGCATGCAGCACAGGCCCTCCGGCTCACGCTAGCCACGTCACCCACTGTGCTGCGGGAGGCCAGGCCCGCTTTCCACTTGCCTCCTCCTGGGGCCTGAGCCCCAAGGAAGTGCCTGTTGAGCTGGACAAAAGTGAGAGACGGAGCAGCACTCCAGGGATGTTCCCGGGAGGACTCACTGGGATGGAGATGTCACTGCAGGGCCGTTCCCGGGAGGACTCACTGGGATGGAGATGTCACTGCAGGGCCGTTCCCGGGAGGACTCACTGGGATGGAGATGTCACTCCAGGGCTGTTCCCTGGAGGACTGAGATTTGAGGCCCATCTAAGACGCTCACAAGATCTCCCCTCAATCATGACTCCACATGGGAAGAGTAAATAGGAAAAAGAAAGCTCAGGCATAAACTGAGCATTGTTCACCCTAACTAAGACACAGAACCAACCCAGAGGCCCCTCAGTGGACGGATGGATGAAGAAAATGTGGCATATATACACAACGGAATTGTATGCCTCTGTCAGAAAGAATGATACCACCCCATGTCTAAAGAAATGGAAAGACTTGGAAAAACCTATGCAAAGTAAGCCAGACCCAAAGAGACTTAGGCTGCATGGTTTCCCTCACTTGTAATAATCAGAAAGCCTTTAGATAGTAAAAAACAAAGTTTTACACTTGGACGTGATTAATTAACAGGACTCTACACATTCAGTGAGGATATTGTGTTAGCAGAGGACCCAGGGGCTCAATAGCTATGTGCACATGACCACATAAATCGATGCTCTTCAGCCTGGCACCGATGGTTCATGCCTGTGAGCCTACTACACAAGGGGCTGAGACCTGAGGATCGCAATTGGAAGCCAGCCCGGGCAGGAAAGTCCATGAAACGCTCATCTCCGATTAACCACTAGAAAGAAAGCTAGGAGGGACGGCTCAAGTAGCAGAGTGCCAGCCTTGAGCTAAAAAAACTCATACCCTGCCCTGAAGCCCCTACCGGCAGAGAGAAAAAGAAATCACGAGCTCTACCAACATTATTGTGGGTCTACAATAAACACAGAATACAGAGACGTCTGGGAATGAGGCCTGGGGACTTCAAAGGGCCCAGGAGACTTCACATGGCCAATGTGACAGATGTACAAACAGCTGAGGTCTGGGTGATGAGGGATGGAGGGCACGGCAGGCCGAAGAACCCTTCATTGCCAGCACTCTGCCCCTTTGGCCACAGCTCCACTTCGTTTCCTGATGGTTAGTTGCAGATAGGAGTCTCATGGACTTTCCTGTCTGGGCTGGCTTTGAACCACGATCCTCAGACCTCAGCCTCCTGAGTAGCTAGGATGACAGATGTGGGCCACCAGTGTCTGGCCTGAGAGGAGTTTTTAAATCATATTTCTCTGTGCCTTTTGGTCATTTTTCCTCAAATGTGTGTAAAATGTAAACCAATCTGAGGGGCACTGCTCTATTGTTGCAGTGAAGCAGCTGTATAAAAGCCTGACCAGTAGGCCTGCTTACCACGGCGCCTGGCTCGGGTGTGAGGGGCAACCCCTCGAAGGGACCCCCGGGCACCCATGCGGTATCCGCCACAGTTCAGGTACAGGGTGAAACCGGCGCTGAGGCTCAGGCCTGTCATCCTGGCTACTCAGGAGACTGAGATCTGAGGATCACGGTTCAAGGCCAGCCAGACAGGAAAGTCCGTGAGACTCTCATCTCCAATAAACCACCAGAAAACCAGAAGTTGGTGTAGTGGCTCAAGTAGTAGAGCACTGGCCTTGAGCTGAAGAGCTCCCTCCCTCCCTCCCTCCCTCCCTCCCTCTTTCTTCCTTTCTTTGTTTTGGGTCTGTTGTGGGGCTTGAACTCTGGGCCTGGGTGCTGTCCCTCAGCTCTTCAGCTGGGGAAGGAGGGTGGGAGGGAGGGAGGAAGGAAGGAAAGAAAGCAAGCCAGCCAGCCCTGTCCCGTCTCAGGCAGCAGCGGCAGCCACACCCTCTGGGGCGAGGCACAGTTATTATTACCACGGACAGCTCTCCCCTTTGGGCAGTACTGGGGTCTGCACTCAGGGCCGTGCTTGGGCCACAGTCGCGGCTCTTCCTTGCTTCAGTTGTTTCCAGGTCTACCCCTTTTTGCCAACCAGACCAGGCTCCTACCCTCCTGTTGACACATCCGGTTCTCACAAGCTGGGATGGGAAGCAGCTGCTGGCGCGTAGACCCCGCAGCCTGGACGCCACTGGCCTCTGCTGCCCCCGTGTGGCCAGCTTCACCAAACAGGTGAGGTCTACAGAAAAGCCACAAATATCAACCAAATTTTAAGATGGAATCTGATCGTTAAAACGTTCATCAGTGTCGGTCTTGAACACCCTAGAAAACCTACAAATAAGAACCGTAAACACCTCAGGACTGACCCCAGGACCTCCCTTCATCCTGCGAGGAAACGGCATCAAGTTCAGCCCCTGCTTTAGCCCAGGCTGGCTAAGCTGCACTGACAGCCGGGCACTGTGGCCAGCATCTGACTCATGAATGAACAGTCCTCCGACACTCACTCTCCTTGGGTCTCCCCTTCCCAGGAGCCTCTGGCAGTCTGCCCACAGCCACACGTCAGCTTCAGTGACCCACGGGCAGAGGGAAGGACAGAACCACCCAGTGGACAGGAACCCACAAGCATGGCCTCCGCACCAGCGTCTGTGCATGCTTCCAACAGGCCTGCATCAACCCCACAACGCCGCCTATGCATCTGACACACAGACGGCCTCTCGTGATTGGAAGGACACTGTCTGAACTTTTCTAGCTCAGATACTCTCCTGATAAACACATGGGTTTTGCTGATGTAAATTAACATGCTGTAAATGAAGCAAGCGCAAAGCTTTTGTCGGGTGGCTGGAAGGTAGACAGAGACCGAAGTGGGAGTCACAGCATGTAGATCCACTGTCACGCAGTGCAGGCCGGTTCCCCATCGGATGAGAGGCAGATGGCAAACGCCTCTGGGGCGCCGGATGCCGCAGCTCTGGCGGGAGTGGGGGGGTGACCTGATGTGCTGCCCGCACTCTGACAGGACCATCAGCGGGGCCTGGGGACCATCAGCGGGGCCTGGGGACCATCAGCGGGGCCTGGGGACCATCAGCGGGGCCTGGGGACCGGACCATCAGCGGGGCCTGGGGACCATCAGCGGGGCCTGGGGACCATCAGCGGGGCCTGGGGACCATCAGCGGGGCCTGGGGACCTAACCTTCCACCATCCACAGCTGGATTTGAGCCCTGGCCACTGTGTCAAGAGACTGGTGTATACAAGCGGGGTGAAGAGACTCAACGAAAGCTGGGAGGGCAAGGGAACCAAACAGGGGGTGGAGACAAGAGGAGGAGAGAGGTTGAAGACTATCAAATAGGTAAGGCACAACAGCGAACAGAGCAATGGAACAGGGAAAGACAAAGAAGGGGGCGCAGTGAAGGAGGTGGGTGGGCTGGAATGCAACCCACATGTATAACTAATAGAAGCTAAATTTTAAAAACAGAGAGATTGAGCTGTGGGGTGGGGCCCATTGAGAATGAGTCTGTGCTAGAAGAGAGTACAGGAGCACTCTCCCCATCCCGCCACACGGCTGCTGTGGCTGTAACCCACAGCCACATCAGGGCACGACGCCACCACACAACACCAGGCGGCAGACAGCCCCCGCACCCACAGAGACCCTGGACAGACAGCCTCTCACACCATGACAAATGGTCCGCTGCTCTTATAACCTGGACTAAGGCATGTCCTGAGAAACGACGCTGGTGCGAGTTTTATTTACCTGTATTATTTCTACACAAAGACAATTTTAGTACTAAGAGATCATGCAAACTGTGGTCAACTAAACAACAGTCAATCAATAGTAAGGTTATGCTCAAGAAAACACAGTTAGCAGAGCTCACTGCAATGGAGGAATTCCTTTTAATCTAGTCATGTGTGTACCATTTTATACATGACTAAGAAAATAGCCCATTTTTCCATGGACTGTTTAAAATCTAGTGATAAATGTGACAGTGTTTTAGATCTGTTTCAAAAATAACTCCTAGAAGAAAAGCATCTGGACATGACTTAATACTTCCTTTGAAGTTCAGCATACGCTAAAGGGTTCATTTGTTTCCAAAAATAGTGATTTATTTACTGGGACTACCGCAGAAACACTGCTGTAAAGCAAACGTATGTACAGAATATACACACGGACGTAGAGCGGTCCTTGCAGTCTTCACGTGCGCGGTGGCCCACGCGGGCCCCTCCGGGGGTGCTCGCGGCTCCACAGGCCCTCCTGCAGGAGCAGGTGCAGCTGGCTCTGCTCGTCCGCCTTCGGGACTGTCCACTGCCTCTTCAGGTACTGGATGTCCACAGCGCCAGAGGCCCTGGCCAGAGCCAGGGCCAGGAAGCTGCCACCAGCTTTGTCTGACTCACCCGTGACCGTCATGGCCAACAGCCTACAGGCAAGAGGGGCAGGGGGAGGGTCAGCAGAGCGGTCTCAGCCTCTGTGTACGCGTGCTCGGGGTGACCATGGCCAGGCCAGCGGAGCGGGCGCACTCGCGCTGGGCAGCTGGGCAGGGGACACACGGAGGGCTCTGTACCTTCCCATCTCTGTTTTGCTGTGAAACTAAAACCAGTGGGTTTTCCTGTAAGTATTTCAAAGTAAGCAAGATCCAACTTAAACTTAAGTCACATAACTCTACATAACCTAGCAAGCAGGACGGCGAGGGAGGCTGGGCTGAGGCTGGGCTCACCGGTCTGGGGAGATGAGCTGCGTGGCCACAGGACCCAGGTCGCTCTCAAGGAGGTCCCAGATGTAGACTCTGGAGGCAGCATCCTGAGCCAGGAACACGGCGGGCCTTGTCGGGGACCACTGCAGGCTGCAGATGGCGGAGCCTTCAGTGCTGTTGTCCCACTGGGCCAGAGGCCACTCCGACGCCAACTGATGGAGCCTGATGCTTCCATCCGAGCAGCCAGCCTGCAACCAGGGCATGGGAGCTGTTTGCACAGTGCTGTGTGTGCGTGTGCATGTGTGTGTGTGTGTGCATGTGTGTGTCCAGCCTGCAACCAGGGCATGAGGACTGTTTGCACGATTCTGTGTGTGTGTGTGTCCAGCCTGCAACCAGGGCGTGGGGGCTGTTTGCACAGTGCTGTGTGTGTGTGTGTGTATGCGCGTGTGTGTGTCCAGCCTGCAACCAGGGCATGAGGACTGTTTGCACGATGCTGTGTGCATGTGTGTGTCCAGCCTGCAACCAGGACGTGGGGGCTGTTTGCACAGTTCTGTGTGTGTGTGTGTGCGTGCGCGTGTGTGTGTGTGTCCAACCTGCAACCAGGGCGTGAGGACTGTTTGCACGATGCTGTGTGTGTGTGTGTGTGTCCAGCCTGCAACCAGAACATTGGGGCTGTTTGCACGGTTCTGTGTGTGTGTGTGTGTGCGTGCACATGCATGTGTGTGTGTGTGCACATGCATGTGTGTCCAGCCTGCAACCAGGGCGTGGGGGCTGTTTGCACAGTTCTGTGTGTGTGTGTGCGTGCATGTGTGTGTGAGTGTGTGTCCAACCTGCAACCAGGGCGTGAGGACTGTTTGTACGATTCTGTGTATGTGTGTGTGTGTCCAGCCTGCAACCAGGGCGTGAGGACTGTTTGCATGATTGTGTGTGTGTGTGCGTGCACATGCATGTGTGTGTGTGTGCACATGCATGTGTGTCCAGCCTGCAACCAGGGCGTGGGGACTGTTTGTACGATTCTGTGTATGTGTGTGTGTGTGTCCAGCCTGCAACCAGGGCGTGAGGACTGTTTGCACGATTGTGTGTGTGTGTGTGTGTCCAGCCTGCAACCAGGGCATTGGGGCTGTTTGCATGGTTCTGTGTGTGTGTGTGTGTGTGTGTGTGTGTGTGTATGTGTCCAGCCTGCAACCAGGGCGTGGGGACTGTTTGTACGATTCTGTGTATATGTGTGTGTGTGTCCAGCCTGCAACCAGGGCATTGGGGCTGTTTGCATGGTTCTGTGTGTGTGTGTGTGTGTGTGTGTGTGTGTGTATGTGTCCAGCCTGCAACCAGGGCGTGGGGACTGTTTGCATGGTTCTGTGCGTGGGGGGGGGGGGGGACAGTACTGGACCTTGAACTCAGGGCCTGGCACTGTCCCTGAACTTGCTTGCTACCACGTGAGCTACAGCTTTTCTTTTGGCTTTTTGGAGGTTAACTGGAGATAAATGTCTCTCAAACATTCCTGCCTGGGCTGGCTTCAACCCAAACCTCAGGTCTCATTTCCCAGATTTCAGGCGTAAGCCACTGGCACCCAGCTTGCACACTGCAACCAGAGAAAATGTTCAGCGCATTACTTTGTTTGGTTTCTAAAACGAACATTAGGCTTTTGTTTTCCAAACCTAAAGCTAACTCATTAAATCTATCCTCACAAATTATACAGTGAGCAGCACCCTCAACTCAAATACCGCCTCTCTTGAGGCTCACCACCAGCATAGCTACTGAATACGTGCATCGTTATTTTATTTCTGTGTTGGCACTGGAACTTGAACTCAGGGCCTGGGAGCTGTCCTTTAGCTTTTTTGATCAAGGCTAGAACTCTACCACTTGAACCATAGCTCCACTACCAGCATTTTGGTGGTTAACAGGAGATAAGAGTCTCCTAAAACGTCTTGCCCAGGTTGGCTTTGAACGACAGCTCTCAGATCTCAGCCTCCCGAGTAGCTAGGATTACAGGCATGAACCACTGGTGCCCGACTAATATCTTTATTTTTTAACAGGCTGGATACTATTGAGTCAAGCGCAAGCCATAAGGCTGGTTACACAGAAATGAATAAATCACCTTTTTTAGAGTTAATACATCTGCATCCACAGTATGACTATACATTCTCTTTGAATTAAAATTTCCATGAAACAACACTTAGCTGGTTTAGTAAAGCAAAATTTTAGCTTATGAAGATATTTGATTCATCGTTATTCTTTTTAATCCCTGACATACTTAAAAAAGGAAATAAAAGAATGGAAGTCAAATTCTAAAAGGGAAATAAAAGGAAAAACAAATAAAATTATGCTGCAAAAATAAAAATGAATGAATGAAAATAGAAATCCATGCTGCAGAACCTCATCAGGAAGAGGGATGAGCAGCCGAATGTCTCTGGGTGCTGCGTCTGGCGGTCTAGAACTGCGGATCACCGCTGCAGTCAACCAACCCCTCCCTAAGTTCACGTCCCGAAAGCCTGGTTCTCAATGGAATGGGGGCGGGAGGTGGTAGGCAACTCAGGGGCGGGGTGCCTGACTAGCACACACACAGCTGTGGCTGGACTACAAAGAGTTACTTTCTTGTGGCTTAGTGGTGAAGTGCTTGCCCAGCATGCATGCAACCCTGGATTCAACTCTTCATTACCACATGCACAGGAAAAGCCAGAAGCAGTGCTGTGGCTCAAGTGGTAGAGCAGCTAGCCTTGAGCACAAGAGGCCCTGGGACAGCGCCCAGACCCTGGGTTCAAGCCCCAGGACTGGGGGAAAAAAATTTACTTTCTTACCAAGAATATTGGTTCTCCAAATGGTGAAAAATCAATCACATTAACTTTCACTGGTCTCATACCATGTTGCTGAGGTTTGAACAGCTTGGGGGACACCTTCACATCTTGTCTTGTGCCATGGCTTATAAAACCCTAGTAATAAAAAAGACCAAGCATGAAGCAAGGAGAGCATGTGGCCTAAGGCTAGACAAATTAGGCAGCATTATAATAAAAGGAAAGAGTTCATTATCTTATATAAAGATATGCATCAGCTAACCCTGGGGGAAGAAGAACGAATACCAAGATAAAATATAAACTACTGCTCACCAGGTCTGTGCCAACAATAAAGTGGTTAGAATCTGAAGGCAGAAACTTGACACTCAGTGTTTGTGTAGGTCCCCAGAATTCACTGTCTTTTCGGTGAAGACTGAAAGAAAAAAACAGCAACGATGAACAAGTGGCTGGTTTGGGGGGCGAGGCTACAACCATTCCCTCACTTAGCACTAGCACTGGGTGCGGGGCCTGCCGGGTCACACTTCCTCTGCATGGTAGCATCTCTGTTGTGCTGTTGTGCACTTGGTAGTGTCTGTAGACCTTTCACCCTGATCGCCTATTTTCCCTTCAGCTCTGTTAAATCTGCTGTGTAACCATTAGTGGTTTTGAACTGCAGCAGCAACAGCCTCACTTCTAAGGGCTCGAGTTTTTAGGGTGCTAATCAATGCGTGTTTTGTACCTTGGTGGACTGCTGCCTTTTCTTGCTGGAACCGACGACCCGAGGCCGCACAGGGTCCTTCTTGCCAGCGGTTGTCCCAGTGCCTCTGAGGCCCCTGCTCTGGAACTTGCTGGAAGGCTCCCCTGCCACACCCAACTTGGGATTTCAAGTTCTTCCAAGACAGGGGAGGGAACTCACTTTCTCCCACGCTAAACAAGTGGGTTCCAGAGCCCCGGTTCTTGCTCCATGCATCAGACAGATCCCAACGGGCCTCACGGTGCAAGTGCACAGTGGAGGTTAGCACAGCTCAGCCTGGCTTCCCGGCCTCTGAGCCGCCGCGGGCCGGAAGCTGGCCTCAACTTCCCTCCGTGCCCCTTCCATCTAGAGATCGGGTGCTAGCCTTGAGCTGAAGAGCTGAGGGACAGCGCCCAGGCCTAGAGTCCAAGCCCCACGACTGACTATATCTGTACCTATATATCTCAAATGCCTCTCCGTTCTCCCACAGTAGTGTCTCTCAACCTCCACTCCTAAGTTAGCAGCCACACTGCTCTTTTCAAAATATAAATCCCAAAATACACTTTGTTGCTTACTACCAGTTAGTTTCTTTCAGACTGTATAAAATGTGCGCCTTTCTCTCAGCCCTGGAAGGCTTCTCTGTCCAAAGCCTTTTCCATCATTATTTTCCACACCGATGGTACATTTGCCTTTTTTTGGTCTTTAAAATAGTGGCTGAAACTCCCTCCTAATTGTCACAGACTCAGTATACTTGGGCCTCATCATTAAGACTCATAAATCCCATTCATCCTTTGGGTCTGAGATTGAAAGTCATTTCCTTGATGCCCCAAGACCTCCTGTGCAAGCTGGAGAGCACGTGTGTGTCCCAGCTGTTCTCTCCAGCTGTGTTTGTTGTATGTGTTCAAAAGTATATGACAACTATTTTAAAAAGACGCTAGAAAAATTTAATAAGTAAAAAAATAATATAATTAAATTCATATACTTTATATCAAGTTGTAATATTTTATACAGTCCTATGAAAGTTGACAGATTTATCCACATACAAAATTAAAAATTGACTTATCAAAAATACCATAAGCAAGCCAGGCATCAGTGGCTCACACCTGTAATTTCAGCTTCCTCACAAGCCTGAGATCTGAGTACCACAGTTCAAAGCCAGACAGCGCAGGAAAGTCTGTGAGATTCTTAGTTACAATTAACCACAAAAAGCCAGAAGGGGCGCTGTGGCTCAAGTGGCAGAGCACTAGCCTTGAGCAAAAGAAGCTCAGCAGCGCCCAGACCCTGAGACCAAGCCTCAGCAGACATACCAAAATAAAGCCATAAACAAGGCTAGCAGCAAATGTTTAATGATTAGGGAATACTTTATAAGAATTAGTATGCTAACTCAGTGAAATTTTACAAATGTGCTGAAACACATAAGGTGTTCTTTCAAATAAGTTAGAAAGAATATACAAAAATCAAAGTGAACCAGGCACACAGCTCGGATTACAGGCAAGCTTGTAATCCTAGCTACTCAGGGGACTGTGTATCTGATAATCAGTACAAAGCCTGCCTGGGCAGCAACGTCCGTCAGACCGCTGTGGCTCAAGTAGTAGAGCGCTAGCCTTGAGCTGAAGAGCTCAGGGACAGCGCCCAGACCCTGAGTTCAAGCCAAACGACAGACAAAAGAAAAAAAAAAATGAAGTGATATCAATCCAGGTCAAGCTAGGCTATCACCAAGAAGTGACCATTTCACTGCAGCCCACGCCCGCCCCCCACCCCGTTTCTGCTCCTAAAACCTCATCTACGTTTAACTTCAGGTTTGCATTAAGATGGAATATGAAAGAAACAAATACTTCGATTTGTGAGATAGGAAGCACTTTTTTGATCAAAAAGCTCTGAACTTGGATATACATTATTACATTTACTCATTACTAATAAATGAAATACTAAAAACAGAATGTAAGAGAGTGTGCCTTCATAACATGTGCAGTGAATCCAACGCTACCTTCTTCCTGCCAGACACGGGTCTTGTTGAGAGGAGGGCAGTGTTAGCGCGCAGAGACCAGTCTCACCTGTTACCCAACTGGATCACAGAGCTGTGCACCAACTTGATCCTCCCTCCAGGCAGGAGACCTGGAAACGACAAGCCAGACCAGAGGCCGCTTCATACCAACTTAGCACAGGCCGACCATACCTGAAACCCTGATTGTTTCCATGGCTCTGCTCACAAATACCACGAAATGGAACTCCCTTCCCAAGTTGGGGCGTGCAGAGAGGGGTCAGGACCTGGGGGCCGGACGCTTCAAGTCTGGTACAACAAGGGCACGGCAGCACGCACACTCGACACTGCTGACACCCACGGCAGCACGCACACTCAACACACTCGACACTGCTGACACCCACGGCAGCACGCACTCATCGACACTGCTGACACCCACGGCAGCACGCACTCAACACACTCGACGCTGCTGACACCCACGGCAGCACGCACACTCGACACTGCTGACACCCACGGCAGCACGCACACTCAACACACTCGACACTGCTGACACCCACGGCAGCACGCACTCAACACACTCGACGCTGCTGACACCCACGGCAGCACGCACACTCGACACTGCTGACACCCACGGCAGCACGCACTCAACACACTCGACACTGCTGACACCCACGGCAGCACGCACTCAACACACTCGACGCTGCTGACACCCACGGCAGCACGCACACTCAACACACTCAACGCTGCTGACACCCACAGCAGCAAGCACACTCGACACACTCGACGCTGCTGACACCCACGGCAGCACGCACACTCGACACACTCGACACTGCTGACACCCACGGCAGCACGCACACTCGACAACACTCCTGACACCCACAGCAGCACGCACACTAGACACACTCGACACTGCTGACACCCACGGCAGCACGCACACTCGACACACTCGACACTGCTGACACCCACGGCAGCACGCACACTCGACACACTCGACACTGCTGACACCCACGGCAGCACGCACACTCGACACACTTGACACTGCTGACACCCACGGCAGCACGCACACTCGACACACTCAACACTGCTGACACCCACGGCAGCACACACACTCGACACT